CTCCTCCCAATTCATTGAATAATCCATCGATTGTTGGGATTGGAAATTTTTTGAGCACAGTAACCTTATTCAAAGCTCTGTAGTCCATGCAAAACCACCACCCACCATCCTTTTTCTTCACTAGTAGCACAGGGCTAGAGAATGGACTTTTACTCAGTTTAATAATTCTGGATACCAACATGTCTCGAACAATATTCTCAATTTCATTCTTTAAATAATAGGAATACATGTAAGGCTTGATATTGGGAGGTTGGCTCCCTGCTTCAAGTCTGATTGCGTGGTCGTGCACCCTGGCCAGAGGGAGTCCTAGTGGGGATTCAAACAACTCCTCATATTGTTGTAACAAATCTCTAACCCTCTTATCATGACTTGTTTCCTTTGTCAATTGTAGCTGCATATTCCCAAACTGAATGTAATATCCTAGACTTTCAGTTTGTAGTGTCTTCAACATTCCCTTGAGAGATACCATGGTTTTACATAAAACTGGATCCCTTTGAAGTGTCACCATCTTTCTCGAACATCGAAACTTCATCACAAGCTTTGTCCAATCTGTAGTAGTTTCGCCCAATGTTTCAAGCTATGCTACACCTAAAATAATATTAGCACTGCTTATCTCAAACGGGAAAAAATTATGTATTATATCAACACTCTGTAACCTTAAACACACCTCCTTACACTCTCCCTGACATTTTACATTAAAGTCATCACCAACCCTCACACCAAATGTCTTAGTAGCTGTTACCGGAATCTAAAGTTCTTCCACTAGGCTCTTGTTTATAAAGTTATGTGACGCCCCGCTATCAATTGAAACCATAACCTCTCTGCCCTGAATTTTGCCACTCAACTTCATGGTTTTAAGTCCATTGATCCCAACTACCGAACTAATCGACAACTCGGTCTCTTTGGGTGCCTCTTCTTCCATTATTTCCTCTTCATTCGTTACCTCTTCCTTCCTATTTTCTTCTTCATCAATTAACAGTACCTGGAACTGCTTTTCCCCGTATTTATGCCCTAGTGAGTATTTTGCATCACATCGATAACACAAGCCTTGTTCTCTTTTCCTTTGTATCTCGACCTTAGTCAATTTCTTGAATGAAAATTCTCATTAGAATGTGCTGGTTTTGTTGTTGCTTGAAGCTGTTGACCTTAAGCTGTCATAGCTTTCAGATGGAATTCTTCGTCTGGGAGTTGTATTTTGGGAGAAGGTGTTTGGTTAACATATATGGGTGAGTTGTATGGGTTATTTGAAGAGTGGGCTTTTAAACTTTCATCCTATCTAAATGAATTAGAAATAGAGTTAGGTCCAAAAGTTATATGTCCATACTTACCTGTTCGGCCCAGGCCTGCATGGGCTTCTTCCAACGCAATATTACCCTCCTCCATGCTTTGGGCTAGCAAGGTCACTTCGGTTAATGAATTGGGTTGGGTTAACAAATCAGGTTGCTGCAAGTTTATCTCACCCGAATCTCCAGTTTTAACCTGTTTAGAAAAGTTGCTGTTAGGACGTCTTCTCTCTCCCTCTATGTTAGCATTACAACCTCCTCAAACCATCGGCAAAAATCCAGCACCAATCCTCCTTGCCTTATCGACATCAGCAGCTCTAAGGGACTAACCTCTTGTGTCACACTAAACGTCTATAGTAGCGCGACCTTGAACATTAGCCATGTCATCGCTGCCGTCCTCAACACTGTCCACTGGTACTAGTGGAGTGTTTCTCCTTCCATGCAAAGACTCGTCGACGAAACCTTGTGCTCATTGGGGATCTGATTTATCGAGAAGTAATGCTTCACTCAGAAGATCCACCCATAAGGGTCTTCATCGAAAAAAAGGGGTAGCTCCAGTTTTCGGCCACCCAGGTTATGGTGGTTCCACCCTTCCCCACCTTGGTTCAACCCTTCTAGACCCTGGTTCCTGATGCGTTGTAACTACAACATGCAAATGTAGCAAGTATACTAGTCGCACAAAGTAATAAAGTGATGAGTGAGTATCGTTCCCACGAGGATAGTGTTACTAAGTACCGATTTCCCTAGTTTAAGTCCTAATTAAAGCAACAAAAAATTGGATTGATGGATGATTAACAAACTAAATATAAATGCAAAACCCAACAACTTAACTAATTAAACAATACTAAAACAAATGCTAGGGTGTTGAATTCACCTAAATACGCTAACCCAAATCATAGAATCTATTACCCAAGTTCTAATTCCTTGATTGAAAATCGAATTCCCTAAGTTGTAAAACATACATTCTCATGCTACATTTCCCTACTTATCCCTATTAAGCTTCCGCACCCAACAAAATGAAGATTAATAGTTCAAAGGATTTTAAGCTTTGTGGAATTCTATCTAGATTTCATAGATCGCTAAACCTATCTCTAGCGTTTGCTAATCTATGGTATTTATCCCAAGAGGCACAATCACAAATCAATTCTCAGTCTCATTGTGAACAACACACAATTGAATGGTGATCAAGCATCCAAAAGACATTAAGCAAAGAGATAAACACTCAATCATGAAATTAAAACTCAAAGTAAATCAATTCATATAAATTTGAATCATTGTATCAAGATTACATCAAACCCTAGCTAAACAACTCAGTTCATACTTAAAAACGAAATAAAACAACAAAAACAAACTGAATCAAGATTCATCATTGAAAAACAAGCAAAAGATAGAGAAATCTTCTCTAATTTGAAGCCCAAATCTTCAATAATCTTCTCCTTCCATGAGCTGCCTCCCAAATCACGAACCAAGCCCCTTTTCTCTTCCTTTTCGCTCTAATTTATACCTCTCTCACTTAAGGACGAAGCCCTAGCAAGCCAAAACGCGTCGTTTTATTTTTGCATCTGATGCAGGTTTCGCCGCGGCGAATAATTACAGGCCCAATTTGAGCATGATAGAGTTAGAATATGGAAAAGTGTTAAACATATGAATTGTAGCCCTTTCAATTATATTTCTGGTCGTTCAAGAATCAGCACAATCCGAGGTCTACAGCTCAATTTGGTTTAGAAATACTGAAGCACGTCCAAAGACGTTTTTCTTCAGTTCCCAGCGTCCTTTTCACGACTTCAAGCCAAGTTTTCACCTTTGTCCAGTCAGAATTAGGAAAAACCCAAAACATGAACGTTGTAGCTCTTCTTCTTAGCTTTCCAAAGCTTCTAAATTCAGGTCATTCCAAGTTTTCAAGCTCAAGTTACACAATTTACGCTCAAAACTGTCATTTATGCTAAAAATCATCGTTTAGGCCTACAAAGACAAATTAATAGAATTAGGTAGCAATTATGGCCCAAATTGTATGAAAAGTATCCTAAATCCTATCAAAATTCAATGCAAAATCATAGTGTAAAATACGCTTATCAGTTCCCACCTTGGTCTCTCAAACATCCGTGAAGGTCGTGTTTAGTGCGTCCACCTCTGTCTCGGTTGGGTTCCTCAAATAATCTCCTCTATCGCTCTTCTTCTTCCTCGTCCTTTCTTCACATCCAGTTTTGCATGTCCATCAGAATTTCTCTCATCGAGTTCAGTGTCTTAGTCACCTTGGCAACGTCACTCTAAACCACTGCCATATCCTTCTCAACGCTATCAACTCTGTTCTCCATTCTAGTTCCAACCATACCTTAGATAATCTGTGAGCTTTGATACCAGTTTGATGGAATCCTACTATTTCAACTGAAACACTACGCCAATCACAATAAATAGCCATAACTCAACACAACAATATGCTTCTCAAAATACAAACAAAGGCAACAAGCAACCCAACAAACAAAAATATCAAAGAGAGTAATATATTCAAACTTGATTAATAAAAAAAAATGGAGAAGATGACATTCAGTTTTGGAATAAAACAGTATCGCCAGCTAGTCCTCGAGGGCCAGCACCTCCCAGACTCAATTCATGCACAAAAACAAAAGATATCCCTTACCCCTACTATTCCTCCCCTTTATTTTGACACCAGGATTCTAATAACTAACAAGACACCTATCCCCATATGCTTTACCCCTTTTGCGCTTTCCTCCCATTTCCTATCTTATGCGAATACCATTTGGATACCCTGGGTCTATCATGTTCTTTTATTTTATTTATTTTATTTTTAATTTTCAGGATTTATAGGGCCGGTTAGACGAGAGCAGTCAGGGCAATTCAGCTTTTCAAGATACATGACTAGATTGAATATGGGGCTTCCCGCTTTATAGCAGTTAAGGCAATTCACTAGTGTAGACATGTCGTCTTTGAAAGATTTGGATTCTTTTTCGTCAAGCTCTACAGTTGGGTATGTGGCATACATCCTGCTTCTATAAAAGTAGCCTTTTTGTTGCTTTTTGATAGTATGTACAAATTCTTTGGTTGTCATATTCTACCATGAACACTAATTTTCACAGAATATTAATGTAATCTTGTACCAGTTCCTTTTGAGGCAATTTTGTGTTTGTTGGAAGTGAAGCGTGGGAAAATTGCCAATTTTCTAGAGCTGTAGTTGGTGGGAGAGTGCTACTTTTTGTTTGCAGTTTCTGGGAAGGTGCTACATGTCTACAGTCTTTGTAGATCTTTCCTTTTTGCTGTTTTAGCTAGAATGCTACATTTTCTGCATTATTTTTTTTGTGCTAATAAGGTAGGCTAGTCCTAGCGATATGGTTCATTCAGGGGAGGTTTGGTTAGCTGTGGTTCTTTCCTATAGTTTTGCTGTAATTGTAGTTGTTTTGCTCTTAGGATCTTTTCATTGCATTTTCTGTTTAAGAGAGGCAAGAAGTAAAGTCCATAACTTTTATATGTGCTATTGTAGTTTATGTGATTAGTATAGATTTGTGATTCTCATCTTGTTGTCTCAAGATTCAAGAGCCTTCGATTTGTGTAGGAATGTTGAGTCATTTCGCCTTCTAATTTTCTACAAACACAGTGAATAATTATCCTACCAAATAACTTTCACCTTTCTCTAAATTTTTAGTAATTTCTCATTTAGTTTAGGGTTAGATTTTGTTTATAAATTTTTTTAGCTTGTGGGGTTCCGATGACGGCATGGAATCTTTGAGACCTGATTGTATTTTGATGACAACCATAAGCATTACCTCTAAGGTCCCCTTGTATAAAATTATTTATTTTCGGTTGATAGAATTTACAAATGATTGGTAAATGATGAACATGCGCTGGGCTCTGAGCAGTTATAAATTGTTTAATTTGATGCACATTTGCAGCCTAGAAAGCTATGTCTGATGCTTTACGTAAATTATGTTTTAAACTCCTTAGTAACTACCTCTTCTTTGAGAGAGAGTTTATCTCTTTGTTATTTTTATTAGACAAGGGTTGATCAGTTGCATGGCTAAGCGAATCACTAGAAATTATGTTTAAGTTCTTTCTGAGAATTATCATTAACAGCCAATGAGTTTTAATGAGCAAAAGTAATCTAAACTACCCAGTGCATATGTCATTTTGAGTAAAGCATAAATCAGAAAATTATGAATGGTGAATGAAAAGTTACTGAAAACAAAACTAGAAAATATATATTAAATAGTGTCATAAGTAGGGACAGCTCCCCCCCCCCCCCTTACTTGAGTTTGATTCATCAAAAATTCATCGAGCTCGAGCTTGGCGAGCCTTGAAAACCATGGTTTGAACTCGAGCTCAGGATAGGAGGCTAAGCTCGAGTTCGCTTCAAGCGAGGCTCATTTAAAAGGTGAGCCCTTTTTGAGCTTGAGCCCAGGCTTGAATTTGAGCTTGAGATGGAGCTCAATCATACTCATTCAAATAAATTCACAGAATGTGTCATGAAATTAAAAAAAAAAAAAATTAGAGCCCAGCTACATTACAAATGACAAAATAAAAAAATTGAGCCTCAATGCATCGTCAAATCAAATTACAGAGTGCATCATCAAATAATTAAAACGCTAATATGAAAAATACTCCTAGAGAAGGGGGAGGGTGAATAGGAGTTAGTAGAAATTAATACGGAATAATAAATTTCTCAACTACCCAAATGCTATGAGCAATAAATAACAATAATGAGAAGCAATAAATAAGCAACAAGTAATAAATGATTTGAGAGAAGAGAAATGCTTAGAGATTTATAGTGGTTCAGTGCTTTGATCAAGTGCTTCCTACATCGACTTCTTCAAGGCAACCTCTTTGAAGTTCCATTAGACTCGAATTTTGCCAAGACAATAATTTGACAAGATTTTGCCTCTACAATAGTTTGACATGATTTCATCTCTAGCTTTACAGGATTTTGCCCACAAAGATAAATCAAATGTTTTTTATGAATGATTACCTCTAAGCTAGGCTGATACACAATGGGTTTTTAGTTTCTCTCTAAGGACATGCGTTTTTAGTATAAATGAGGGAATAATTTTAGTTTAAGATTGAGCTCTAGGGTTTGCAAGATTGATTGTTGCACTGTTCTCTTTCTTGTTTTCGCCACTTCGCTGTTATTCAAAGTGAGCTTTTATACTCTGATCTGAAATATGGTTGTTGCTTCATTTAATGCACCGTTGCAACTTTCTAAAAAATTGCAGAACCTAGAGGAACGGGCGTTCCTAACACCAACGGTCACTTGTCTTTGAATTTTAGGGTTTGGAATGATCGTTCGCCAACTTGGAATGGTCATTCCTTTATTGCAAACAAGCATTCCCCTATCGCGAATGGGTATTCCATCTTGGATCTCTTGAAGACAAAAAATTCCAAAACTTCCAAAAATTTGAACGACTTCCTGGAATGGTGTCATTCTTGTAATTATTAGAGTAGGTGCCCTAGAGCCAATCGATATGATATATTTGACCATTTGTAACATGTTTATATATATATATATATATTAATAAAGGAATTTTACATCGTGTAATTTATGTTTAACTATATGTAATGATATATGTCCTTAGAATGGTAGAATCGTGACGAGGGAATCAAGTGTTTCAAATCTTGATTGTGAGGACCCTATGATCACATTTGGCGGCCATTCTAGAAACATCCATAGCCTTTATAGTATTCTGACCAAGGGCATAGATAATACGGTAAGACTATCATAACGTTGAACGACCCTACCGAAAGGTAGTGACAGATCTCACATGTCAAAGTTGTTTGGTGACAACTTGGTGCGACACATGGGTGCTTGTTGCTTGCAAGTTTATTGGATTTACCCACTAGAGGATTCAATACAAATGGTGTAACGCCCACACGGAGGTATGTAATTTAATTTATGTTTTTATAGCCCTTAGTTGATTTTTGTTAAAAGTTATTTTAAGAGAATATGAAGAAAATGCCTTAAATCTTGCATTAAGGGTAAAATGGTCTTTTCACTCAAAATTAGTTGAAAAAATGGGGAGTGAAAAGAGAGAGAATTTCATGTAAAATGCAATAAAAATAAAGGCATTATGGTAATTGACTAAGGGACATAGATGGAATTTCTAAGAAAGTGTAAGGGCAAAATGGGAAAGTATGTTTATAAAATAAGATATTAAGGGTTTGTAACCCTTATTTCTCTCCTTTCCACCGCCACTTTCCTTCTCCATTTTCTCTCAAATTTTCACTTATTTTCCAAGGATTTTGAGGGCTTTTGAGTGAAATTTAATAAGGTTTTGATCCTAGGCAATAAGGGGTAAGAATTCTTGCTTTATATATATGATTTATTTGCGTAGAAGTTGAATTCTTATTAAGTTTATGCTTAGGGTTAAGAGAATGTTTGAATCCAACAAGAGTAGAGAGCTTTAGTGGAGATTATTCAAGTATAAGGTAAGTAAATTCCCCTTAAACTCCAACTCAAGTTAAGGTTTAAGAAATCAATTGAGTAGAGATTTCTTTAAGCATGTATGTGTTATGATTGTTGAGAAATTGAAATGAGATTGATAATTATTTATACTTGTTGTTGGATATATTTGAGTATAAAAAGTGTTTTTGATTGTATGATGATGGTTTGAAATTTGGTTGGAATTGGAAGAATTTTGGGAGTGTTTTGCCGTGTAGGGATTATGAGGATACATGGGAGTTTGGCTCTCATTTTGGATGGTTAAAGAAACAAAGAGAATTATAATTTAAGTAAATGTAATAGCCACTTTTTACTCAAATACTCATATGAAATACATGTAAAGTAATATAAAGAAATTGGGCCCAAATTTTTCTTTTTATTAAACATATATATATACATAGATATTCTTTACAACATATACATTTTTACACAAAATTATAATGTGTACAAAAGTCATCAAAAACATAATAGACAGTGTAACCGCTTCTCCTAGAGCGCCGACATCCATCCGACAGAGTCCTAACCTAGATCCTGCAAAACATAGGAAAACAACGGGGTGAGCACTAAAATAATGCTCAGTAAGTAAATCCTCTACTCATCTATCCCCGTAACTCTCTCTCTCTAATTCTTTCCTTACAATCCTCATTTACTCTCTCTTTATACTTCTTACTACTTTCTCTTTCTCATAACTCTTTTTCTTAACTCTCTCTCTAGTAGTCACTGCCTCATCTTACCGAAGGCACGGCCGGGACTCGCTCGCACTCTATGTGACTTCTACTCATTTTAGCCGATCGGACTCGGTTATGCATGGATTCGGAACCCTTGGCCATGTGAGTGTATAAACTCTCTCTCGGGTACTCTCGGGTATAGCCCTCATCCGCATGCACTCTCACGGGCTACACCACTTCTCTCATACTCATGCCGCTCTCTCTCAATGCGGCGTACATGCGGGAATACTCTACCCATTACTCACGGGTTCCCCATCGCACAACCTACTCTATTCTCTCTCTTTCTTAGCTCTTAAAGTAGCTTATACTCAATTTCTCTACTATGTCTCAAGCTACTTCTTAAGTGTATAAAAACATATATCAATACATATTGCAATAATAATGATTTACGCGATATAAAATAAAATGCCTTTTATTGATTAATGAACATTATTACAAAGAGTCAATTTTACAATAATTGATTGGCTCTAGGGCACCTACTCTAACAAAAAACATGTTTTTTCACATCTAGTTGTTATAAAGGCCAATCTAGATTTATTGCAAGTGATGAACAGCCTGATAGTATTCAACTTAGCCACCGGAGCAAAGGTCACCTCATAGTCTACTCCATACATTTGCATAAATCCCCTTATTGCCAGTTTTGCCTTATACCTTTCAAATGTTCCATCTGCCTTATACTTATTAGTAAACACCCACTTGCGCTCATAGTTGCTTTCCCTCTAGGTAAACTCACCAGCTCCCAAGTCTTGTTTTTTCTTAAGAGCCTCCATCTCCTTTATCACAGTCTTCCTCCACTTTTCATCCCCTAATGCCTCATGTATCGATGCTGGAACCTTCTCAACTGAGAGATTAGTGGTGAATGCCAAAAAATCATCTGCCAACTTATTGTATGCCACATACTTAGTAATATGATGCAACGTATAGGATCTAACACCCTTCCTTAGTGTAATAGGTAAATGTAAATCATCATGCCCTGATTTAGGATCTTAGTGCAATAGTTCTTCTTACCTTATGACTGTGAATCACTGTTTCGTCTAGTTGGGACGATTTCTCATGCAAATCATTAGGTTTCCTTCCACTTTAATAGTCAATTCTTCGAGAATAACATTGAAGACTCGACTGATTTAATCTCTCCAGACCTCCCCTTGGTTCCAATCTTTCCTGAGAGTTTGGTTTACCAAGAGTGGGCTATATAGTTGGAGTAAGACCTAAATTGGTAGGTTGACTATGAGACTGACTCATACTTATGGGACTAGGCTGACCTATAGGAACCTAACCTGAATTAGGCTGACTAGGAGACTAACTCATTCTTATAGGACAAGGCTAACCTATAGGAAACTAGGTGACTTTGAACTTTAACCTGGATTGGGAGACTACTAAGATTGACTCAAGTGTGGTTGTAAGGGTAACACTACTTCCCTTGAATGACCTTCACAATTTCTCAAATTCTCTTCTAAAGGGAAGTTAGAAAGAATGGATGTGACTAAAAAAATTTAACATCACTAGAGACATATAATTTTCTCTTTATATGACAATAGCACTAATAGTCTTTCTGTGTGGGAGAATATCCAAGCAAGATACATTTAATGGCCCTAGAGTCTAGCTTTCCTCTATTAGGA